AATAAATTCAATTTGTACATTCCAGTATCTGTCCCTTGAATATGTGAGATAGGGTATGGCTTTTTTGATGGCTAAAGAATCTGCATCTGTGTGAACCGCAAATCTAAATGAGGTCTAGGCATATGCTCTCTTTTACATGAATTTGCATTTTAGGACCTACTTTTCATTACATTGTTCATCTCCTCTGTGCACAGATATTTTCTCTTACTCTGAGATTCTTTCCTGGCTGTAACCAAAGTTCTTATGATGACTACAACACTTAATGAATTACCTTATTCTATGTTGTTTTTTTCCTTTCAAACATTTTCCTTCAGCAGAGCATCTTCCACATGGTCTGTGTTTCTTACATGAGACATAGTACACAGTGTAGCAACTTTTCCTTAATAAGGCAAAGCCTTCTTCAGACCTTCCATATGAGCGTCATGTTGAAGTTAACAGAAGTTTTCCAACCACAAAGAACACTTCCTTGTTTAGTAAAGTAATAAATCATAAGTATTTTGTTTGCAAATGGCATATGGAAAAAAAACTGAATGCAATCAAATATAAGAGAAATAAAGACTCATTTGTATAAATCAGCATAATTCATTTGTAATAAATTCATCTCCAGGGGTAGGACTGAACTGAAAAGCTATTTTTGTCATAGAAATTCTCCTTTACAAGAAGCCAGCAGTTATTTGTAGCAACATCAGTGCTGAGCTGAGTTTGTGTAACCAGAGTATTAATCATATTCAAGGACATCGACATGAAAAGCATAAATTTCTTTTCTTTAAATTTCTGTTTTCTTTAAAACTGTTAGTCCAAGGAAAGCTCAATAACCAAGTTACTTAAAAACAGATTCTCTGTTAAACCTGGGACTGGGAACTTATAAAGGATATTTCCAGATCAGTATTTGCTGGCTAACGCTTTACAGGGTATGGATGATATCACCATTGCGTACATGTGCTCAGTTTAAACATAATGAAAGCAGCCCCGTGTGGTCAAGGACAGAGGTGCGCTACCCAACAGGGAATGCTGGACAGAAAGGTATGATTAAGAGGATGTGTCACAGGACTGAGATACATAGCCCATGGTGGTCTTCATGCTTCTTTCCCTCCTGAGAATTTGAACTCATCCTTGTTCCCATTGCAGTGAAAATTTAGAGTGTTCATTGAAATATTTGCATTTAAAAAGCTTTTATTTCTCTTGCACCTTTTTCTGCTGGGAAACTCTAGTGCCTCTGTGCTTTGGACTTGAATGCTGGATTAGGGAGTAACACAGCTATGAACTTTTTTTTTTAAATACCTCCAAAAGCTAGTTAGAGTCATATCAAAGACAAGCAGGGTTTTGAGGCACTGAGACTGCCTTGTAGCTACCATATAAGTACTCCTGGTTCTCAGAATGCACAATCAAAAACCACCCTGTCCAGGGACTATCATAACCAACTGTTTTTTAAGAGCTTAGTGATTCTTTGCTTGAAATGAGTGTGAGTAGAGGGAAAAAGCCTGATGCTTTTGTTGTGCTGAATCTACTGAAAAAATTAATAGAGTTGACTTACACCTGGGTGAATTCCCATTTCCTTGAAATAATAGCAGTGATCAAGGGCTGAACAGGTGACACAGCTGTGGGGAGAGGGCTGGTGTGCCCATTCAAGCGGGAGTTCTCCAGGTACCAGGGTTGGGGCTCAAATCACATAGCTGGGAATAAGAAAGGAAAGTCCAAAGTGCCGTTAGCATCTGAATAGCAGAGTTTATGTGAGCAACTGGCATTTCTGTGATTATCTGACCGCTTTGTGCCTTTTGGCATTGAGTCAGCTCCTTTCCTTACTGATGAAAGGTATAGTGCTTTGAACACATACTGCATTAGCCCTGAAATCCCACTGCTTCGTAGTTTGTGACAACATACTACATGGACTCTGCCATGGGGCAAAACAAACAGAGCTTTACTGACAGAAGCTGTCCCATCAGCAAACAGAGTCCCAGTGGACCATAAACAAGGTCAGATAGAACAAACTTACTGTGTCCCACATGGCTCAGAGGCTGCCAAGAGATGTCTGGCTCTCAGATCTGCTGGGGCAGAGCTAGGCTACCCTTCAGGGACCCATCACAGTGCGTCCATCTTCCCTTGCAGGGGTTCTCAGCTGAGATATACTCTCTTTAGGTAAAAGCTTTCCTCAGAGCTTCCTGTGAAGAGGTCAGGTCAGGGCTAACAGACCCACAGCAGGTCATTTATCTTGGATGGTTATGATAGACAGTCACATACACCACTGTAAGCTGTATTGTCCCCTTCTACTGACTGTTGATGCAGGAAGTCAAGCGGACAACACTTCACAGAGTATAAAGAAGCTCTAGTTCTCTTTCAGGGCTTAGTTTGGATCCAGCTGTCCCATAGGCTGAGAGAATGCCTGTCTGGTTTTGTTGTAGTGGAAGATTAAAGGGTGTTAATAAAATCACCTACAGATGAATGAAAGACACCATTAAATACATGTGTTTACCACAGACAATATGAATACACAGTATATAAATGAAATTTTTAGCTTATGTCTATCAGAATCCTTAATAAAACTAGATAGCGTGAAGAGGAACATTCCCTATCACACACTAAGACAGACAAAAGCAACAGGGACAAGTGATGAAAGGCAGGCCAATACAATTCTCCTGGAATTAGGACAAAATGCTCCCTGTCTCCACAAAAACTTTGCAAAATTGTCCAGTTCTTAAGGAACATCATCAGGACTATGTTGAGAGTAGCATCAGCCAGGTATATTTATCCCCCTGCTCTGTGGATCTCCATATTGTGATCTATAGGCATTTTTGTACCTTCCACATATATGGCACAATACTAGTTGTTTTTCCTGTCCTCTGCACATCCTCCCCTTCCAGAGAGACCAGCTCCCCTGCTGGTCTGGAGCACGAAGTTCTTCAACCAGAGGACAACTGCGGTGATGCCCCACATCCTAGTAGATACCTCCCAACCCCATCCAACATTCAAAGATTCCCTGCTTGGTACTTTTGCCAGGAGCAGTCACTCTTCATGCTCCAGTGTGAAAGCTCCCAGTGCAGCTCTCCTCCTGCAGTTCCTTGCCTCCACTGGAGGCAGGAAGGCAAAGGCCTGGGAGGTAGATGGGGCAGACGGTTGATCCATGTGTTATTTCCCAAAGCGTCTGCTCTGTCCTAGCA